ACACATGGCAACGATGCTGCTGTTCGGACTACAGATAAGAAAATGACCCTGAAGTTGGCGTGATGTCGGTAGCGAGTGCGCTGCTCAGAGGAGCAAAAACTGATGACGAGTTAAACTTTTTACATGCAGCCTTAAAAATGTACAAACAAGAGAGAAAAGTCCAACTGTGTGAAAACGGCACTGTTGATGTCAGAAGAAACAAAGTAGAATATTTCAATGTCTCTTCATGGCTTTTTCCAGCAGAAACATGGATGATGTCACCGAGTTCAAATGTCAAAGCTTGAACGTGACGCTAACTTCACCTTTTCCAGGGTCCACCAAGTCAAAGCAGCCATAACTAACAGAACTTCTGTTTGATATTGTGACTGAAACATTTGCATAATCAATGCTATCCTTTCTATATATTCTATATTACATGAGGAATGGCACTCTGGAAGCTAAGGAATGAGGAATTAGGGCCCTTCTGAAAAATATAAAGGGTCCAACCGTGTACAACCAGCACACTGGGCCTCTTAAAGGGGCCTTTAAATGCCACTAACCCAAACGCCTCAGCCTAATTCAGACAAAGAAACTAAACAAGTGTTTTTAATCCGTGTACGGTTCGTTCTTTGGTGTTTTCGTTTCAAAACAAAAACGAAAACACAAAACAAGCATGCGGTTTTTCCGTTTTTTAAAACCTCAATCGAAAAAATTAAAAATCGAATTAAGAGAAAATCAATGGAGTTTGCCATCTAAATGAATGAATGTTGTTGTTTTAATAAGTAGCGGAACCGGAAATGAAGTAAGTCGCAAAAGAAAAATCATTTACAGCGGATGAAGACGGCATCAAAACAAACCATTTCTAAACAAAAGGCAATGGCTGCACTTCAGCCGTTTTCTGCATTGATTATTGACTTTTTGAGAAAGAAAAAACACTCTGAAATCAGTGATGCTTTGAGCCGCCATGGAACGCCACATCACTCGGTAATGAGTGTCAGGTTTTGTATGGAGCACAACTGTCGAAGACGCAACAACGTGTCGGACGCCAACAGATCATTAGCTCGCAGTGAAATGCGCCGATTCCCTCTAAATAACACAAACGTTGCCATTTTGGTAGCGCTAACTGAAAAAGTTCTTCTTCTTGTGGATTGTAATGACAGTTGGCAAGAATTGAAGGCGTACATTACCGCCACCTACTGGTAACTAAAAAAGTTATGAGTTGGGAGTTCAGGTCTTCATTTCTAGTTCTGCCATAAGGTCCGTTAAATTAACAACAAAATAAAAGTTTGTCTTTGGTTTAACAGTTTAAACGTACCCTTTGTTCAGTTTTGCAAATGCCGTTTTTCTAATTTCGTTTTAGAAACGAAAAAACAAAAAACCACATGCTTGTGGTGTTTTTTTCGTTTTTGTTTTAAAACAAAAAACAAAAACAAAGAAGGAACCATACACGGATGGTTTTGGGATTTTCTTATTGTAAAATGACAAAATAAATAAATCTGTCTAAGTTTAAGGAGAATTTAGAGAAGCCAATTAACCTAACGGTCATGTTTTTAGATGATATAAAAATAATCGCAACCCCGCCCCCCTGTACAGGAGAGTGGAGGACGTCGTCTGGTCAGCCAGGCCAACAATCCCCTTGACGACCAACCTTTTAGACATTTAGATGTGCATGGGGCGTTTCAGTCTGACAAAATGAGTCAAACGACCCCCATTCCAAAGGGGGGGACCCGTTCATCCGTTTCTATTTGCATGTTTTCTAAACTAAAACCAGGCTTTGTTGGGCTGCTGGATAAAACCTGGAACTAAACGCTATTTCTGACATTTTGGATTGAAAAATCTTCCTGGATGGAAGAGAAACGTCTTCAAACTTGGAAACAAAGTCCAGAGGATTGATTTTAATTTTCTTTTTTGGAATTACTATGACCTGGAAAAAACAAAACAAAAAAAAACATTAAAGTATTTTAGGAAAGAAATCTAAATCCCATTGCTCTGCTTGTTTTTTCCCCACAGGGAGAGCTTGTGGATGTCCAATACGGCAGTGTGGAAAATTTGAGAAGAGCGAAAGACTCCCTGAACCTCACAAACCAGATTGCTGTGGTCAAGCTTGGTCAAGCACCTTTATTATATAAGGTAAGAACAAATCAGAGCCGCCGGCTGCAGGATTCAGCTGATAAGAGCTTCATATAAATGATTTAAGGTTTATTATTTGGATATTTGCCATGAGCTGGACCAGATTTCTCCACAATGAAAAGCCTGCTTTAATCTTTAGATATATGTTAATAACTCAGAAATATATACATCTAACAAAGAGGTTGATGGTTAATCATTCATCCCTGTATGCAGCCAGAAGCTTGTGGAATATTTTACCTTCAACCATAGTGTAAAAAGTATAATATCCTATATCTGCCACTCCTCAGCAGGATTCCTTCGGCATGCTAGGAAACAACATTAGCTGTGCTTTGATTGATTAGCCCTATTTCCTCTTGGATTCTTTCCAAACTCAGAGCAGTTTTGCCATAAATTAGTATATGTCAAGAAAAATAAGGATTTCAATCCAGCTAATTAAAACATAAACGCCTACTTGCACATTAACTGCTCATAATTCTGCTTCGTGTTCCTTTCAGTCAAACCTAATTTATTCACACCAACCTGGATGCAAACCCGGAGATAATTGAGGATAGAAACTCCATCTACTGGATAATTAAAGGTTTTACTGCACCAGAAATGTGTAATAAATTCAATTATCTTAATCATTTTTATGTTACAATTAATTGAAAAATACATCTGAATTCACAAATCAAACGAAGCAGGTCATCTTGTAAAGTAAAATACTCCTCCCTGCTAAAGAGACTCCTTGCAGTGAATGGAGGCCATCAGAAAAGCTGAAGCACTTGTGATAATGATGGTGACTATACGTAATTTGCTTATACACATTCAGACTTTTTATAAAACATCACACGGAACCTTCTGGAACATGTAATCATGTTCTGCCAAGAAGCTGTTGAGCCATTTGTTCATCTTTAGCTAGTTTGTGACAGATTTGATTGTGTGCTGCTGCTGCCGCCTCTGGCTGGGAGAAATGGCCGCCCTTTACGTACAAGTGGGGGAAAAATGATTGATGAGCCTTGAACTCTCACTAATGAGTGTGTGATGGTGACGGAGGCTCCAGCGTTGCACGGGTAGAACCACGCTTGGCAAAAACAAGATGCTTCTGTTTGTCTTCAACTGTTTGTTATTAATTAAAGAATGGTTGAAAATAATGTTTCAGCTTTTTTTTATATAACTTATAACCCCTTATTTTTTGATTTTTTTTTTTGCAATTTCTTTGAAAAACTATTTTTATAGAAGAGTGAGCGGCAAATAAACATTAAACACAGGAAAATTCTTTCCACTAACTGGTAAAAAAAATATAACAGCTTGGCAAAATATGACTTGTTCCCTTATGGCCCACTTCACTATTCCACATCTGTATCTGTTTTAGTTTCTTCGTGGCATAGACTCATGATTTATCTTTGGTCTATTCATAAATGACAAGATAATTGATCTATTGCTGAAGCACAGTTAACTCATTAACATGTTGAAAAAAAAAAAGTGACTTGAGATTTAGCTGTATGAGAAGATGCATTAACCTGCCCACACATTGGCCAAATTCAACAATAATATTTATTTATGTTACGGTCCTAAAGCATGCATGCATTGTACCAAGAGATGCTCTACACCATCACACCAACAGCTGCAGCCTGTGGGTGGCACTCTGACCTCCTCTAGGTCTGCTTTGGATCCTGGAGGGCAAGTCTGACGCTCCTCATACCTGCTATTCCTGTAATTAAAGCACTCTGACACACATACAGGTGTTTGGATTCAACAGATGCTTCAAATATACTGATATACTCTCTGTGCTGCCGCTAAGTACCTGTTGTATTATTTTGTTAAACAGGGAACAGCCTGGACTCTACCTGCATATCTTATGGTTCTCCAGTTCTGGAATTCTATTTGAGTTTCTTTTTGAGTTTTCAGTCGTTTATTTCATTCTGTTTTGTCGATCTTTGGATTCGTTTCCATTTTTGTTATATTTAAGCAGAGTTACTGTCTGTTGCCTCCTTGTGCCAGTCTCCTCCTAGCTTCCTTCTAGTTACTTCTATCCACACCTGCTCCCTATCATCAGGAAACAGATTTCTCATCTCCATCAAAATATGTATTTTACTTCCAAGAGCGAATCTTACAACTTCAAAACAAACTTCTCATCTCAGGCCT